AACCATGTTCTCCTGATTGAGCATAACTATGGAGCTATTGGAAGGACCCTGGCAGGGGTCGGATGGGGAAGGGAGGGTGCAACTGTCTCACCTTGCAGAATACTCTATGTCTCCCAATCTTCATGCACAGCCATTAGTTCCATGGAGGTAAAAGGCCCCACCAGCCACTCCATAACTCTTGTCTGAATGCCGAAAGGCCACCTTTATAAGCCCAGTATAGGCAACTGTATCTTCTATGAGTTAATGACTGCAATGTCTGTGTCATACCCAGTAGACAGTCTTTCACATCTCTCCTCCAGTCATCTAGCTCCGATGTTCTTTTCGCTGTTGGTGCTGCTGTCTAACACTGTTTTTCTAGCAATGGGATTGCAAGTTGAACCACCATGTCCAACTTTTATGTGGGTGTTGGGGGATCGAACTCAGTTCCTCATGTTTGTATGACAAGCACTTAACAGCTGTCAGATCACCTTCTCTTTGCATGTCTTAAATTGATGTGTCATCATTATGGTATCTTGGAATGAAGTGAGGGACACATAGGTTTAACCAAAACCAACCTTTTGTTGATGGCACATAGTAAAATTCCAACCTCATTAAGAACATTAGAATGAGTGAGACAATTTTGTGTCTAAGTCTCAAGGTGACCTTATGGCTTCTGAACTCCGTGATTTTAAGCAAGGACTCAAGCAGAAGGACAGGAGAGTGAAAAGTGGTTCCTCTACGATAATTGTTAGGGTGTGTAAGCATATGTTTGTCAACCTAGTAGGGTTCTCAACACTCTTATCAGAATTCATCAATTTGTTCTGGGATCTACTTTAGCTTTCGGTATGAGCACAAGGAAGGGACAGATTGTTTCTAAGTGAGGAAGCTCCATGTGAGAGTGATGGTATCTGCTCAAACACAGTGGGAAGCCAGTGACCATCAGTCCCGCACATTTCAGAGTCCAGAGTGCTAACTATCACACCATGGAACCACAGCAGTTCCACACGTTTCAATCAGTGGGCTTTTCATTTACTTAATTTCACCTTTCACATCTTCTGTTTGTAAGAAGAAAAGAAGAAACTACATCCAGATAGTACTTGGGTTTTCTATTTATTCCCAAGTTCTGAAAGGGAAAAATAAAGGTTAGCTAAGAGAGGCTAAGAGATGTGCTCTGTCCTTCATTTGAATTCTTGGTACACATCATAGCTTCTCAATAATTGTACTGCATTTCTGGCACAAGCTAGAGTCATCTGAGAGGAGGAACCCTCAACTGAGAAAATGCCTCTAAAAGATCAGGCTATAGGAAGGTCTGTGGGACATTTGCTTACTTAGTGATTGATGTAAGAGGCTCCAGCCCATTGTGTATGGGGACATCCTGGGCTGGAGGTCCTGGGTTCTATAAGTAGGTTGAGCAAGCCAATAGGAACAAGCCAGTAAGCAGCACCCCTCCATGGCCTTCATTAACTCCTGCCTCTAGACTCCTGTCCTTTTTGAGATCCTTCCTTGATTTCCCTCAACAGACTATGATTCAGAATATGTAATTTAAATGAACCCTTTCCTCCCCAAGTTGCTTTTTATTGTGATGCCTCTTCACAGCAGTAGCAAGCCTAAGGCAGTCTGCTATCTGGTCTACCTGTCCTGATGCTCTTCCTATGCTTTGTTCTCTTTGTATCCCATTTCTCTCTCTCATACTCCCTAGGTCACAGAGGCCTTCACAACACTCCCGCTGTTTGCAGTACTGCCATTTCTATCTTGAAGAAGCACCTTCAGGAAACTGAATCTATCAATAAAAATTACTTCTTCCTTCTGCTTCTCATTCATTATATTAATTAAGAGTTCCTTAAATTTTCATAGCATTCCTAAATTTTTTACCTTACTGGAAGATTTGAGAATGTAAATATTTGACCTTGGGAAAGATTCAACTAGCAACCTCCTGTATGCAAATATGTCCCAGAGATGATTGGCCTCTTCTGCTCAGCATTTGGTAGGCCACATTAGATAATCTACCATGCTTGGAGATAAGACTATGGATACAGAATGGCTTGTCTTTGACTGGAAATGTTCCAATGACTTAGGCTAAGGGGGTTCTTAAGAATGAAAACCAAACCATTGTTTGTCCTGTTATGTATTGTTTAGTGTCCAAAGCAGTGACTCTTAACCTGTGGGTTGCTACTCTTTGCGAGGTCAAATAACCCTTTCATAGGGGTTGAGTGTCAGATATTCTGCATATTAGGTATCCACATTACGATTTATAACCTTAGCAAAATTATAGTTTTGAAGTAGCAATAACATAATTTTATGGTTGGGTCACCACAGCATGAGGAGCTGTATTAAAGGGGTACAGAATTGGGAAGTTTCAGGACTACTGCTCTAGAATTTCACAGACTAGAAGCTTGGCCCTCAATATACATTGCTTTTCTTCCACAGCTTTTGCCCTTAAGGCATCCTAAACTCATAGAGATCACTGCCATTTCCCCTTTCTGCTTTTCCATATACAGTATCCTTAGGCTGTGTTTGCCTGGCATTCAGAGGGGAAGTGACAGAGGCCTATCCCCAGAAAGGATAGGGTTAGATTTCACAGTGTGTGATTGGTTGCCTTGAGAGTAGCTGCTGTTAAGTGAAACCACCTCACAGGCTTGGCCTCTTTCACATATGTTTTATGAACTACTGTGTGGTTCTCTTGAGGTATGACTGCTTGAGCTTGCACTTTCTAGTCTGAAATACTGTGAGCCCAAATCAGCCTCTTTATTTTGCAATTACCCAGTCTCAGGTACTTTGTTATAGCAACAGAAATGGACTAAGACAGTCACAGAACAGAATTCCTTCCTGAAGAGAATATAAACTCACAGATGGAATCTAGAAACAAAAGAGAAATGAAAAAAAGGAATAACTTTAGGGATGAGAAAAGAGACAGAAGACAAATGAGAGTAAAAAATGGATAAATAACAAAATATGGTGTAGACATGGATGGAGGCATCATAATGAGGGAGACATTATTTTGTTAAATTGATACATGTGAATCAAATTGCCTTTAAAAGGTGATGTCAAGAGTTGGAAACTTCTCTGCTCATAGAATTTCTGTGCCTATAGTTGCCTTGCTAATTTGAGTAGACTGACTGGCCAGCAAGTATGTGCTGCTATCTTTTATGTGGGTCTCCAGGCCTGAACTGAAATCCCCATGTTGTATAGAAAGCCTTTTCCTGGTTGAGCTGTAGTAAGCTTTCCTATCAGACTATCTTTGGATCTCCAGCCCCCAAATAACAACCCAGAGACTTATTACTAATTATGAAAGCTTTGTCTTTAGCTTAAGCTTGTTCCCAACTAACTCTTCTAACTCAAATTAGCCTGCTTCTATTAATCTGTGTTCTGCCACATGGGTTTTACCTTTCCTCAGTATGGCATGTCCAACTTGCTCTGAGTTTGCTGGTGAAATCCCCATACCTAGATTCCTCCTCTTCCTCTCTATGTCCCCAGAAATACTGCCTATTCTTTCCTGCCTAGCTACTGGCTATTCAGTTCTTTCTTAAGTGAATCAGAAAGTGCTTTGGCAAAGACATGTCTTCACAGTGTACAAATATTCTTCACTGAGCCACCTCTCCAGTCTCCTCAACACTGATTTGAAAGGTAAGATTTGAACTACTATCCTGAATTATTTGGAATGTTGTTTATTTAGCTTTTATAAAACTACTAGGGACAGCATGAAATCAAAGATAGTTTCTAGCCCAAAGAAAAGATAGAAAAGGTTTGTCAGTAGTGAGACAGGACAAAGGTTGTGGTAATTTCCCAGCTACTTTAGGCCTCTTGACCTGAGCATGTGTCCCTTGCATCTTAATCAAACTCTGTACTTTAACTAGATTTGGAAGTTGGATAAGACAAGAGAGTTGGAATAGGTGACATTGGGTCAGGACACATGGCATCTTATTCTCATATTGCTATTTTCATGAAGCCTACCTTTGACATCCCTTTGATACATATGCAGAAAATATACCCACATACCTACTCAAAAGAGGTTCCTTCACATGGGCCTGCTGACATTAACTTAAGAGTGAAGGGGAGTCATAGGGTAATGTTTGTTGTAAGCATGCTATTGTGGGTTTAATGAAGTCATGTTTTCATAAAATTTGTGTTGTATTTCAGAGTTAAATTATTTAAATACATAAGAATGCATATCTCTTTCCTTATAATTGACAGTGCAAAACCATTACCCTTTCAGGGGAAATTAAGCTGTGGATTTCACCACCATTTGGCAGATGGAGAAACTGAGGTGTAATGAAGATTAGCCCTCTCTCAAGGTTGTTCAAGAGAGCCTGGCTAATTACATGGGTTTTGAAAACATTAAATATTGTTTTTAAAGTTATTTCCTATAACTATCCTATAAAGGTTCTTTGAGAGGAGGGTAAAGCTAAGTTGGTAGATCTAAATAAATTTAATGAATTCAGATGAATTTAAGAAATAAACCAGTTCTTCCCTCTTTGTCTGTCAGTTCACTTTTGGAATGATTAAAGCAGAAGGCAAGGACTTTTATGTCCATTTTCAGGATGTCCACTGTCCAAAAGTGCTGTACATCTGGGGCAGGGGAGACTGAGGCTCATTGTTTAAGTAAACACTGTTAAATCATTTCCATTAGGGAGAGTTGAGCCTCATTAGACATAGAACGGGAAGAACACCATTAGCTCTATTTATAACTGAGAGGTTCCGCTGTCACTTCAGCCCCAAATGAATACACAGAGACACTGTATTAATTATTAAACTGTTGTCTGATTGTTAGGGCTTCTTACTGGCTAGCTCTGTCTTGATTATTAACCTATAAATACTAATCTATGTATTTCTACATGGCCTTATCTTACCAGAGAATGCCTGGTGTATCCTCTCCTCCTGGTCTCCACATGACGACTCTGCCTACCTTTCCCAGAATTTTCCTCATTTCCTAGTCCCACCTATCTTCCTCCCTCTATTGGCCAAACAGTGCTTTATTCATCAACCAATAAGAGAAACATATATACAGAAGAACATCCCCCATCACTACTATTTTCCATTTAAACTTTGGTGTGATAAATTTAGCAAGTAACACCCAAAACAGTTCTATGCCTGAGAGATATAATTGGATTGCATCATAACATTAAAATATTACAACAGATACAAATTTTATATATTGCTGGTTCATTGTCATTTTTTTCAGCCTCTGAATCACAGGAAGCAATGGACACAGTGGACAGATGAGTTCATTAGGTGGGTCAGTGATGGGCCTTTCTTTTGCACTTTTTACTTGTACCCTTTAGAAAAAAAGAGTTGCAAAGTCTTGATGAGTTTGAGACAATTACAAGTGAATGTGTAAAATCAGTCTTTAAAAGATAACTCCTTCCACTTCTATTTGTGCTACAACTGGGCACCACATTTAATATGCTGGAGGTCTCCTGATTGCATAAGCAATGGGCCCCTTGCATTTGCAATTAACCACTCACGCCCTTGTTTTCCTTACAACCTGAGAGGTTGATTATGTGATTGTAGGTATAATAATTAGCACACATGAAAGGAGAAACTCAGCAGAGGCCTCCTAAGAGTATCCTTTTATCGAAAGCTTCAGACATGGGCTAATTAGTTTGGACTGTACAGGAGATGGCCCTCAACATGACCTATATCAAAAGACATGGCCCGCAGTATCTTTGCTCTTATTGGGAAGTCAAAATTGTTTCTCCACCATATTTTTGTAGGAGTGACTCTGTTCAGTACAAATTGCTTAAGGAACTTCACACTTCTCAGTTGCATCCTCCTCAGTAGAGGCCAATGCTGTATGATGCTTAAAATACCTAAAAAAGGATAACCAAGAGGAAAATACAAAAATATACCCACCCACAGCTCTGAGGGCAGACACAGGATCGTCACTGTAAGTGGGAAGTTAACTCGTGCTACACACTGAGACCGCCAAATCAAAGTCAGCCTTACTTATCTGTCCCAGAAACATGGCAAATTCAGAAAAAGGAGTTAGGGAAAGAAAACAGTTGAGAACTTTAGGTACAAGTATTTAGAAAATTTAGATAAAATATTTAGAATGTTACAAACATATAGCTGCAGTCATAGGGAGCAATGGGTAAATATCTTTATATTCATATAATTACCAGCACTAATAAGAAATTGCTTGTATATATGGGATTGCATATTGACTAAAAGTTAACTAAAACAGTAGTTAGAATTACCTTTGGAGCAATAAAACCCCATTTTAAAGAAAAAGGAAGAATGAATATTAATTATATAATCCTAATCAAAAGAGAGGAAAAACAAAATCAAAACAAACCAAGCAATTGTAGCATTAGATTAGAAACTAATAAAAATTAATAAACTGTTATGCAGAATATACTGAAATACTAATAAAATCAAAAGTTGTGTCTGGGGCTGGGGATGTAGATTGGTATTGAGGATGTGCCTAGCATGCACACATTCTGGGTCTGTGTCCAAGCAGCATAGAAAAAAATCTTGGTTCTGTGAAACTATAACAATAAGTAAGTGTATTAATGTATACAACAGATATGAAAGATGACACAAATAGCACATTATGCTGAATCAAATAAATAATGCTATGAAAATAGAATATTATAATTAAAGAAGAAGAGAAAGATGAATTTATAATAAAGGTGACTTTGTTAAAATAAATTTGGGCATATAGAAACAAATAGGCAGTCTCTTAGAAAAATAAAATTTACCATAATGAGCTGAAGAAGAAAGGCAAAGGTAAGCTAATCTGTAATTATCCATTTTCTTAATTAGTAGATACACTTCAATGCACCAAGCCCATTAGGTTCAGATGAGTTTTAGGTGAACTTTATCAAAGAAATAATAAAAGAAACAATAATCTGTTTCAGATAATTAAAAAGGAAATACAATTTCCCCCAATGAAATCCAGAAATTAGTGTTGATTTATAATACGCATAGTCAATAACAACATAAGAAAAAATCAACCAATTTTACGTTTAAATATAAATGCCAAAATAGTAAATAGAATCCGACAAAATAAAATCAGTAGTTTATGTAAATATTTTATCAACCTAATAAATAAAAATTGAGTTAAGAAGTAGAAGGTTTCAACCTCAATGAAATATATCATTTCAACACAGCATAGCATTTTAAAAGAAAAAATATTCATGGTGGTTCTGATACACATTAATTTTAAAAGGAGTTGATGAAATTCAACACATCCATGAAAACATTTATAGTAAGTTTTAAGAAGGAGTGGACTCTCCTAATGATAAAGAAGCCTATTAAGAATCTATAGCAAGTAAAGTAGAAGTGGTCAGCTTTTAGTATTGTCCTATTAGAACTAAGAAAATAGTATGCATATCAAGCTTTCTAATTGACATTGACTAACAGGGCTAAAGCAGTACACATACAAGCCCACAGCCATTGTGTCAGCATGCACAAGACACACACAAGCTCAAGCTAGACAAAATATTGCAAGGGAAGTGATGGGCATGATGTTCCACCTCTTGCTGAGGAGCTATTGGCAACTGGTAGCTGCTAGGAGAGAGAGACAGTTGGATTACCCCTAGTAGGTCATCCACAGGCAGTGGAAGGCCACTCACCTGAGTGTATGGGAGAGAGTAAAGAGGACGATGTTGAGTTAGTAGGGGAGGACTTGGCATGAATATAATCAAACTACATTGTATGCAATTCCCAAAAAAGACTTTATTCTTCACATAGAATGTGTTGTTTGTACAGGCAGTCAGCATTTTACAAACTAGTAGAAGACATTAAAAAATTGTCTGGTATGAGATCAGTCTACAAAAATGAGTGGTATTCGGTGTGTTAACAAGTAAGTGGAATGTAATTAGAGACAGCTCTTTAAAAATGTGGAAATAGCATGTCTGTGAGCAACTGAGCAGGGACGAGGAGCATGAGAGGTCTGCACACTCATGTTTGGACAATGCAAAGCAGATGAGTAATGGAAGGAAATTCATCTCCTTTAGCTATAGCTTTGACCCCACGAGGATAGCGGTTCTCCTTTTAATATAAAATTACAATACATCTCAATCAAATGTACAATAGGTCTTTATGGACATGCCTGGAAAATCTTTTTTATTGAAAAGCAAAGGGCCCAGCCAAACCCTGTCTCAAGAAAAGAAAGACAAAACAAAAGAAAAGAAAAAACAAAGCAAAATAACCATAGAGAGCTTAAGAAAAGCTAAGAAGGGTTTTATTTATCTGACACAAAACTGACATCATAAAGTCTGGAAATCCATGCTAGAATAGTAATTACAGCAATAGACCCACCAGCAACAGAGACACAGGGCCCAATGATAGACTTAGCTCAGGTAGAAGTCATAAGACATAGGTGGTCATAAAAATCATTTGTGTGTGTGTGTGCACGCACATGTGTGTGTGTGTGTGTGTGTGTGTGAGAGAGAGAGAGAGAGAGAGAGAGAGAGAGAGAGAGAGAGAGAGAGAGAGAGAGAGAGAGAGGTGACTCAGTTGGTGGAGCACTTGCTGCCAAGGCTGATGACCTGAGTTCGATTCCTCAGCCCCACATGGTAGAAGGATAGAATCAACTTCTACAAGTTATCTATCCTCTGACCTCAACTTGTATACAATGGTATGTGGGCTCTCTCTATAAAGTAAATGAATAAATACATGGTTACAAAAATCAGTGGAGGAAGACTAGGCTGTTCAAGAGTAATCATATAACCCACATAGAAAAAGAAATAAGCCCCCTTTTAATATAAAGAAACAAATTGCAGATGGATTTAACAATAAAACTTGAGGTGATAAGCTGGCAAGTGTCTACAAGGAACTAGAGGAAATATTTTCATAATATTATGATAGGGGGATTTTTTAAATAAACTGAAAAAATGTAAACCATAAGAACCATATTCAAACCAATACTTCTATGTGACATCATGAACAAGGTACATACACATAGGGTTGATCATGATGGCATGTGCCTAGGCTTTGGGAGCTCGGTTTTCTATGTGCTTTGCAGATATCAAAAATCCACTATCAAGAAGAATGCAGACTCAAATTACCTCTGTGAGTGAAGACTAGAGAGCAGGGCAGATTGCTTAAGCCAGACTGCAGCTCAGCCCTTTCTCCCCCACCCTGCACCCAGCTGTGATATTATTTATACTGTGGATAAGCACTTGCTTCTAGCCTTTTCCCAGTTCAGTTCAGGACACAGTGCTTTAACTATGCTGAGAGTGTTTGGGACTGACTACAGACAGAATTATGACTAAGAAGTACATTTGCCTCCATCCCCAAAGGCATTTTCTCCCCTCTCTGAGATATCATGATGGAGTTTATTGGGCCTGTGACAAAATATCTCTTAGCAGTGAATGTTTTCCCATTTCCATAAGATGGCTTCCAGTGTGCCAATTTGCTTATGTATATTGAATGTGCCTATTCAGTGGTGATTCAGCTTGTGAGTCTGTACAGACAATTCCCCAAACAGTTCGATTGGGGTTTAATTATGACCTCACCCTGCTTCACAGTTCCCCAAAGCTGTCAGTCCAAACATCCCTGAGCATGGTGAGTAGGTGAGGACCTCATTTGCATGTGGATTTGCATATCTAAGAGTCCATGCCATTGTCTGTGCACTTGACTTGATGTCAGAGTCTATTCTCTACAAAGACACTTTGGAATTTACTAGGCCATGTGTCTCTGGATTAGGGGAAGGCTGCATTTATGGCTAACATACAGACAGTACTAAAGGAAACCAAACCCTAGCTGCCCATGGATGAAGGAGAGTGATGAAATGAGTTTACTATGATCTCAAGAATATCACCGAGGTTATTTCAGGATGTGATTGGACTTGTTCTGGCTTGATGAGTGGATGAAATCATAAGCAGTTGCAGAGACAGGATGGCTTCTGTCTAAGGTATCTGGTCCACTTTTGGTTTTGCATCATGTCAGAGCTTAGTTAATGGCTAATTTCAGTCAATTTTCATAAGCTGGTCTGAAAGTCTTTGGGGAAGTGCAGGTATTAGACCTTCCAAGTCAGTATGTTGCTACCTGAAATTCTAAAGCCCCCTTGAGCTCCACAGCTTGATCTGCCAGTGCCACACATATACTGTGGTCATGGCTCTGACCTCTGTCATGCCTGTGGGTCCCTCTTCTGACTCCTAATAACACAAAGCTGAACCCACAGGGCTGCTTTGCCTCTGGGGAACTACAGAGAGCTGAGATGCCTGATGGTTTAGATCCTGTTCGCCGTGCTCTCTGGGGCACAGCTTTGAAAATCCAGATCCTAGCTTTCAGTAGGCCATAAGCAGTTCTGAGGAGTAATTTTCCCTCCAGGCTTCTCCTGTGGTTCATCCTACTTGTCCTGCTTCCTTTCCCTGTTAGTGTTTTCTCTCAGGAGTCTTACCCTTGGATGTCACTTGCACAGATATCCAATTCTTGCCATTTGTTTCTGGGGAACCAGCCTGATGCATAGATGGTTTATTTGAACTGAGGATGGGAAGGGCTTGGGTGTTTGAAGTAACTAAAATCAAATCCACCTAGGGAAGAGGAATGGAAGTCCTAATTAGAAAATCTGTACACCCCAAGAAAGATCGAACCATTTAACAGCTTTGCCCCTGGAAAGGCTCTGTCTTAGCTCCTGGGTCTTTTCCTTTGTTTGGGGATTTATTTAGCTGGAGAAGACGGCCATGGTACTCCTTTCTCGAAGCCATGAAGTCTGCCATGGTGTTTCTTTCCTGAAGCTATGTTCTTCCACTTCTCGGCTAAGTTTAAATGACTGTAAGCTTGTGGTTTTCTCCGGAGATAGACTTTATGATCCCTGGCTTGCACCAGTTCTTGTGAGCACTTCCCAGATATCATCTGGTTTGGAGAAGCACAGATGTTTTATAAGGATATAAACTCTCTACAGCAGTTAAGGCTCCAGTCATCTAAGGGGCACGCTATGGTCTTAGGCTTGCTTGAACAATTTCCTCTTTGTTTATAGACATAAATGTGGAAAAAGCTAAAAGCCTGACGTGAAAGAGTAAACATCATCAAGGTGCTGGTTTCTTCTCGAGAAGCGGGGAGGGTAACAGAATGCAGAGGGGTTCGTGGGGATTCTGTTATAATGAACTATTAATATACTGTATCTATTGAGGTACATACATTACATTACAGTATTTAAGCTGATGGGTAGGAACATAAATGTTATAAAAAGGAATTTTCTTCAAATATTTGCAAGTGAGCAAGTGATGGACTGAGGAGGAGTCTGGAGGAGGAGAGGAATGTCATTTGCTAAGAGGCATGGTCAGCTGGATGGGGCATGAAAGCTGCTGCCCATGCTCTGAATGCCCAGAACCCAATGGCATGATGGTTTGGAAGCTTAGTCACTGATGGGAGTGTCCCACATGTGTTCTGTCAGATTTGGCAGCAGTCAGTCTTAGGAGATTATTTAGATCATTTACAGTTTGAGGATAGTCCATGCCTTGGTTGTAGACATACCTTTTGAGGTGTCCAAGGACTTTTTGGAACAATGCAACTCTCAAATGAAATTCTGAAAGGCAGATTTTGAGAACCATGGATGGAAGAGCTGGAGCTCAGTCTATGGTTATTTAAGATGATTGCTATTGAATATCTACATTTGAGAAAGTTATGCACTAACCAACACTGGGTTTAACTTTGAGTAAGGTCTTGGTTCTTGCTTTTGATTCTCTTCTCCATTTAGGTGTATGGGTCACACACATAAGAAAAGATTGGACCATAAGTGAATTTTAAATGCACTGTAAATACTCTTTCACATGTATGTGCACATGCATGTGTATATGTGTACATATGTGTGTGATATGTGTAATATCTTCCATTTTCTAGATATGTGATGTTTAGAAAGGCCGTTCTGAGCTCTGTTTTCCTGAATGAGTGAATTCCCTTTCAGAGTTACTGTGATAGAAGTGGTAGTTTCCAAAGTAAACTTGCCTCCTGCCCAGTGAACATCTCTACTTGGATATCTATTGTGTATCTCAGCTCTTAAGTTTAACATATTCCAGTAGAATTTACCACATACTGCCTCCTCAGTGGGTTTTCCTCTTGTGATCGACATTATAGCCATTAGTAAATACTCCTGTTTTTCGTTTGTTTGTTTTTGTTTTTGATTTGGTACATTTCATGCTACTGTAACACAATGCCTGGGACTAAGAAATACATAATAAGTAGAAAGAAATTGGTTGTGGAGTCTAATGCTGAGGATCCAGCATCTGGCGATGGCCTTTTTGCTGTGCTATCCTATGATGGAAAACAGAAGAACCATTTTACAGGGATCAAATCCTGGGTGTGGAACCCTCATGATCTATCACCCATTAAAGGCCCTAGTTTCCAATACCATTACATTGGCAGTTACATTTCCACATTAAATTTAGGGGAGAATAAACATTCAGATCGTTAAGACTTTCAAATACATGTCAAGCCCTACTCACTGTAGCACCATGTGTTACAGCTGTCATGGTCCTGTGGCCTGTGTGATCCATACAACCAATATCTGTCACCTGAAACACCAGAGAGTCTCAGAATTGCTCTGTTTCAATCTGTCATTCCGAAGCATGTGATGTGTTGTCACTTGCCTTTTCTTAATTTTGGTTGTCTTTATGTTTCTGTACTTTGAGGATCTGATTTTTGAGGGGGTGATGTATTTTGGGGGTAGGGAGCCTTGTGATCACTTCCCTTAAAACTTAGCACTTTCATGTCTGCTAGGAAGGATACTGCATATCATTATTAGCCATTGTCACCTTTCTGGGATACCTTCAGAAAACCAGGCACTAAGCTATAAGCTTTGAAAATAATACTTAATGATTGTGCTAATCAAGTTAGATGGCATCCAGTCACTTCTGAGATGAGAAATAGGAGGAATAGTTTCAGGAAAAAAAACTGGAAACGTGTTTCTGACCAATCTTTTCCTTAAAGTATTTCCTTTTCTTCCAAAGGTAGGGTATGAGAGCTATCTGTCACCAAAAGATTCTGAACACAATGAAACAAATGCATGTTCAGTTTTAAACTCTGTCTCAGTGCGTCTGGAAAAAAATTTATAGAGGACCAAATGTACTCAGCTTGGAGTGAGCTAAGCATTGGAGAGGACAAGCATTGACCTTGTTTTTAGAAAGATCCTTTTCCAGTGACAGTTAGAAATGAATGCAACTCTCTTCAGTATATGCCATAAAGACATGATAAAGGTGTTTAGGTCACATTAGAATGCTAAACAGCCATTAATATCCACAGCATGGGAAAAAAAGTTGTCAGAATGATTTTAAATCGAGTTTGCTCTTAGACTTCCATTATGTAAGATCATCATTTGCCAGTTTGACTAAAATGTTATGATTTGGTAACAGGTGTTGAAACAGAAAGCTGTTAATGGTGCCTGCCATAAGATTTAGAGGTTATGAAAATTCTAACATAGTTTACATTTTTCTATGGCACTAAATCATTTTTGAAGGCAAGAAAAGCTTTCCTTTAAACCAACTAATCATTTTCCCAGAGCGTGACATATACTTAAGACTCCTACTCTAAGCTCACTTCCCACTTGTCAATAGGAGTGTGGACATTGCCTTTCAAGTGTGGTGTGTAGCTGCCCTTTATCTGATATCCCTTCCTCCCCTCTATCCTCCTGTTTGAGATATCCGTAATCTGGGTCAGTGTGAGTTTTCATTTGTTTCTTGCTGACGAATATGTCTGAGTATAAGCTAATGTCTTCAGATACCCTAGATTCTCCCATATCTCAAAACAGGTCCACTTCACAGAGTCACCTATCTCCATCTGTTATCCCCATCTCAGAACTTGTTGAGACACTCCTGAGTGGAGGTCTCCATTGAGAACAGTGCATATGTCTTCTGCCTCTTGGATTTGTTTGATCCATGCTCGCAGGCCCGTTGACGACTGCTAGGTTAAAACTTCCTTTCATCTCTTCATAATGAAAATGAGTTTCAGTTTTTTTTTCAAGATGAGCATAGATAGATATCAATACAATGCAAGTGGATCATAAGAAATTGTCATAGGTGCTATTCAGAGGAATTGCCAATACTTTCTCCAAGTTTATGGTCCCCCCCGGCCCCCGTCTTACTTACTTTTCTATTGCTGTGAAGAGACACCATGATTAAGGCAATTTATAAAACAATTTATAAAACATTTAATTGATCATAGACTAGCTTACAATTTCAGAGGGTGAGTCAATGACCTATGGGAGCATGACAACAGGCAGGCAGGAGGCAGGCATGGCATTGTAGCTGAGGGTTTATAGTTGAACTAAGAGAGAGAGAGAGAGAGAGAGAGAGAGAGAGAGAGAGAGAGAGAGAGAGAGAGAGAGAGACAGAGACAGAGACAGAGACAGAGACACAGAGACAGAGAGACAGAGACAGAGAGACTGGGCTTGGCGTACGGTTTTGAAACCTCAAATCTCACCCCCCAGTGGCACACGTCCTCCATCAAGGATGTACCTCCTAATTCTTCCCCAAATAGTTCCACCAACTAGGGATCAAGTATTCAAATATATAAACTCATGGGGGCCACTCCTGTTCAAGTAGCCATACCTTGTCTTTGTGCAAAGAGGAGTACTAGATGCATACTAAAATAATTTTTGTAATTCAAAAATTCTGCAAAGTCCAAGAGAACACATGAAAAAAATAATTGTTTAGTCACATGTAACCTTGCCTTGTAGCTCCTTACGGGTCATAATTTGTCCATAGAAAATTAACACTGCGTTCATTAGATGTATAATATTTGATAATGTATAAAGAGGTTACATTGATTTCCAACACACTATGTTCTGCTGAAGGAGAATATAAAGAAGTGGTGACCACTCCAGCCAGGTAAACAGGTAGGCTAACTCTAGATCTTCATCTCTCCCTCTTCTCCTCCAAATCCAACTCCCAGTTTCCTAGATCTGTAACTCACCACCTGCTGTGGCCCCTCTTCCTTTCTGCTCCAAACTTCAGTGGATCACACAAAACTTGCCCTCCAAATTTCCTTCTCTACACGCATCACTTTATCCCAGCTCCCAACTCCAGCAGGTATCCATGGGAAACAGCCAGCCAAGCCTGCCAGAGAAGCATGTAGGCCAGCTCAACAGATAGGACAACATCAAATCTTCATTCTCTATCCTTTCCTCCAAATCCAATCCCCTACTCTCATCCTTAGCTCTGTAGCAGACTGTCCATTGTGGGCTCTCCTCATTCTCTACACCCATTCCCAGGGGACTAAAAGTAGCTCCTGGTGAAACATTCCACTTCCCTCCCTCCTGTGGACCCCCTCACCCCATCCTAGCCCATTCCCATTCCTAAGTATCAGAGTCCAATACTTAGAAACATCTTACCTTGAAACTCCACTGCCCACACCTATTGTGATCCTAGGATATTTCCCTACCAGGCAACACATGATCACTACACCCCGCCCTAAGAACCAGAGAGAGCAACAGGAAGGAAACATCCACTGAACAAAGGCAAGACCTGATACCAGCTTCTAGAACTAAAAGCATCCCAAGCCCAAATACCTAGATGCCAGTGTAAAAACAGCCAGGACAATGTCTCTACTAGGTCCCAGCAACCTTACCACAGTGGGTCCTGAGAATTGAAACATAGGACAGAGACCTTAAAAGAGCCATTATGAATATTATAGAGGTCCTTAAACAGGAAATGGACAGATTCTTTAAAGAAATCCATGAAAACAGTAGCAAACCATGGAAGGAAATCAATTAAAATAATGTAAGACCTGAAGATGAACTATTATCAATAAAATAAAAAACTGGGGGAATTTTGAAATTCAAAATTTAGGAAATCAAACAGGAGCCTCAGAGGCAAGCCTCAACAACAGAATACAAGAGATGAAAGAGAATCTCTGGCATTGAAGACAGGATAAAAGATGTGGGTACCCCATCAAATAAAATTTTAAATAAAAAATCCCACCATAAAACATCCAGGAAATCTAGGACACTATGAAAGATCAAATCTAAGAATAGACAAAGTAGAAGAAACACAGGTCAAAGGCCCAGAAAATATTTTCAACAAAATCATAGACACATAATAATCAAAATGCTAAACATACAGAATAAAGTAAGAATATTAAAAGTTGTAAGGGAGAAAGAATAAGTAACATATAAAGTTAACATATGACATAACTAAGTAACATATGACATCTGACCTCTCAATGGAGACTCTAAAAGCCAGAAGGACCTGGAAAGATGTTCCATAGATCCAAAGAGATCACAGATGCCAGCATAGACTACTATATCCTTTTATACTCATCAAAACATTCAGTTATAGTAGATGGAGAACTGTGGTGATATATTGTTTATGATCTAATAAAGCTTGCCTGGAGATTAGAATGCAAAGCTAACCACAGTCATAGAGGTCAGGATGTAGTGGTACACACCTTTAATTCCAGCAGCCCAGCCTTAGCGTGGCTTGATTTTAGCCAGCTTTTCTAATTTAAATTATCCCATTTCTCTTCAATTATGTTTTGCTTCTGGGCTTTTTACCTTTCTTTAGTCTATATATCTTTCTTTCCTTCTTACTCTGTGGCTGGCCACCGGCATCCTCCTTTCTTCCTTTTCTTGCTCCTCACTTTCTCTTCTTCTGAACTAGATTTCTCTTCCTATTTATTCTCCCTAACTGGCATCCCTGTCTATCCATCTCCTACCTGTTATTGGTCTTTCGGCTCTTTATTAGACCAATCATGTATTTTAGACAAACAAAGTAACACAGCTTTATAGAGTTAAACAAATGCAACATAAGAGAGTATAGCACATCTTTATATCATTAAAGAGAGTACAGCACATCTTTACATCATTAAACACATGTTTCACAGAATAAATGAATGTAACATATCTTAAGTTAGTTCACAACAACCCATCTGTTACAGTGTTAATATCCAAAAATACATAAAGAACACAAAAAATTAGATAATCAGAAAACAAATAACCCAATTTTAATAATGTTGTATAGATCGAACAGAATTATCAAGAGTATACACAAATGGATGAGAAACACTTAAATATTAAACATTCTTAGTCAGCAGGGAAATGCAAATCAAAATTACCTGCCAAAGTAGCTAAAATCAATATAACAAATGAAAGATCATTCTGGCAAAGATGTGGAGCAAGGGGAACTATTGCTGGTGAGACTGAAAACTTGTGCAGCCACCATGTTAGTAAGTGTGGTGGTTCCTCAGAGAGATGGAATTGATCTACTTCAAGACCTAGATGTAGCATTCTAGGGCATATACACAGGTACCACTCCATCCTACCACAGAGACACTTTCTCAACCATATTTATTGCTGCTCTATTTATAAAAGTGAGAAATTGGGAACAACTTAGATGTATGTCAACAGAAGAATGGATGAGAAAATATGGTACATTCGCCCAATGGACTATTACTCAGCTAGTAAAAATGAAGTTTACAGGTAAATGATTGGAACTAGAAAAAAGTCACCCTGAGTGAGGTAACACATAAAGAGAAATATGGTATATATTCAATTAAATGTGGGTATCAGCCATTAAGAAATTGATAAGCAAACTTCAATCCATAGACCACAGAGGTTAAGTGTATAGTAACAGTCTTGTTAGCACAAGGAAATAGAATAGCTATGAATGGATGTCAGGGGACTGGAATGGGGATCAAATGGAAATGGGGAGGGAAGAGGTGATGAGGGAGGGAATATGGGTAGAGACAGCTAAAATAAGGGCCATCTGAGGGGTAGTAATTTATCAGAAGCATCTTAAAATATGTACCCAGATGAAGGTGATCTCAATGAAATCACTAAATAGTGTGGGAGACAGCCCCAACTGGGCATCCCTTCTCACCAAATGAAGCTTCCAATACCAGGAACTAGTTACATCTCATTGAGTTTGTTGGCCAAAGGGGTCCCATGGGAACCTTTAAACAACTCCAGCTGTTGCCAAGAATGTAGGTTGCTCTCTACACACTGAAAGCAAGGTCCATTGCTGAAGGCAACACCTACACAACTCATTGAACATGGAGAAGTTGATCTGATGCCTATATAGAGTATTTCACACCTCCATTCTAGTATCTTTGTACAGGAAGGTACTCTGCAAGTTACCAAAGAAGAAAAGTAAACAACAACCCAGCCATAAACCCTTTGATCTACAATGGTGTCCTGTCTGAAATATATACTAGTATAATAGTTGTGGGAGCAAGCAATCCATATCTGATTTCACTTCAGACCTACCTCACAAGATGGAACCCATATCTTGTATTGTTTGAATGATGAAGAACCTGAAACCAGATAGCCAAGAGACCTAGGCTAAAACCAAATACCCCTCTTCTATAAAACAAAAGTACAACAAAAACCCTAGCAATAAAATTACTCCTAATAACACTCTGCTCTTCTCATAGATCAATGCCCAGCTCAGCCATCATCAGAGATGCTTCCTCCTGCAACAGATGGGAAGAAATACAGAGATTCACAACTAGACATGCAGAGAGTAAGAGACCTTGGAACACTAAGCCCTACAAGGGATGTCTCCATCAAATGCCCCCCAGTGGGTTAAGGAAACTCTGATGAAGAGCTGGCAGGAAGAGTGTAAGAGCCAAAAGGGATGGAAGACACCAAGAAAACAAGATCCTTTAAGTCAACATGAGCAGAGCTCATATGAACTCACAGAGACCAGGTAGCATGTACAGGACCCACACCAGACTGAATTCTAGATCTGAAAGGAGAAATTGACACACACTCTAACCCTAACCTAGAAGCAATCATAGTTGACAGTCACTTGCAAATGAAAGTTTAGTTTTTTCAAGGGAGTATCTCAGGGGAAACAAATCATTCTTAAGGGTATACTGCATGTCCAGGAGTAGATGGCCAAGAGAAACGAACTAAACAGCACTTTTGGAGGTCCCTTGTCTCATAATGTAATGTCTGGGATTTTCATTTCTTGTTTTAAATCTATCTTTTTTATTATATAATATATGTATATTGTTCTCTCATTTTAACCTACAGGTACCTTGTGCATATATATATGTGTATATATATATATATATATGTATATTGGCTTCTGGTTTGGTTTTTGGTGAGATTATTGAGTGTGTGAATGAGTGGGTCTCTGTGTCTATATCTGTTTCTTGTGCCTTTTCCTGTGCTCTTTTCCTTCTGTTTGCTTCCTCCTATTCCGGCATTAGTTTTTGTTTTATCTTATCACATTACATTAATTGTATTTTATTATTATTCCTTAAAACCCTCTTTGCTTTCTCATGAGAGACAGAAAGAGGGTGGGTGGATCTGGATGGGAGGGGAGGTAGGGAGGAACTGGGAAGAGTAGAGGGAGGGAAACCATAATCAGGATATATTACATGAGAAAAAAAATCTTTTTTCAATAAAAGAAATAAAAATGAAGTTATATGACAGGGTCACTAAAGTTCAAATCCTCTATTGCTCCTCTGTGTTTCCTAGTACCCTCTTATAGGTACTAGGCATTTATCCAGCTCTGGCCATTGCCCTGGGACTAATGTGATCCTAGTCAATGAAATTTAAGGGTGGGCATGCATCTGCTATGTTGTCCATTTCTAGTGTGGCAACCTAGAATATTGTGTTACAAGTAGTCATGGTGATATTACAAAGTAAGGCAATGTCCTCCATCTCAGGACCTCAGCAAATGTACAGCAGTGCCTCTCTTACGGTTGTACGGTGAGCATACTCGGAGCACCACATCAATATTACTATGTTGAGCCACTGCATTTGAGGTCTTCTTTTGGCCAGCATTCTTTGCTCAATATAAGCACTTTCTTTAGAGAAATAATATTTCTGAGCTTCTTTTACCAAACCACCTAATGTCAAATGTAGACATTTTAAATAGGGTGCACATCTCTCCGCATGGAAAAGGGGATCCATGTCACATCTAAGCTTATCAAAAATCTCATTGTTGAACAGTCTGTCCTTATTTGCACATGTTAGACAGATAATGATATTAATAAGAGAAGCCTTGAGGAAGGCACATTATGAATAGAAAATACTGTCTGATTTTCTTCTTTTCTAAATATACCATGCAGATGTAAAGGCACCTGGTCATCTTAGGAATCAAAATTATGGTAGTCTGATGTGGAGATTCAGAAGTGGGGTCCAGTCCCCCGCAGCTGTTTCTGATGCACAGTTCATTGTCTGTCCCATTTAGAAACTCCTCTTTTGCTTTACCATTTCCTCCTCTGTGGTTGATTTGATCAAATGTTCTATTGTTTAAGCCCAAAACATAGCTTTACCAAATCAGCCACAGTATTGTTCAAAGCTCATCGTTCGTTACATTATTCTTCATCAATGCTCACAATGCTAATATCTGCAAAGAGTCCCTGAATCTCTAATGAAGCTTTTCAAATCCACTCGACTACAAGTAGTCTGTGAACAGAGCTCTCTTCCTTTTACATTTATTTCAAAAAAAGAAAATCAAAATGATTCAGTCCTGTATGGGTCATGACAATGCCAAACAGATGCAAATAAATATTAAAGTAATATATTTTTCGTTTGGATCACAGCCCAAATTCTTTGCCCCAGAAAATTACCCAAATGCTCTAGTGCACATGTGGTTTATATTTAAGGTGTAATGAGCTGTTCAAATAGAGAAGGGCAGGCAACCATATTAAAAATAAACATCAAATTTTAACAAAGACATATCCACTTAGATTGCAAATAGCCCTAATGGTTTCAGTTTATTGCCGCTACTTCAGCATGTAGCATCTTTGGTTGGAAGCCAGTTTCCAGTTTCGTTGTCTCCTAGTGAAGCTGAAAAGGTTGCTGGGTATAATTCTTTTATGAAATAATTATTCAACTGTGGTCATATTGCCAAAGTGAGAGCAGTCTCTAATGAGAGAGTAGAAACAAGGGTAGTCTAGGGAGAGAAAATGGGATATGAACATCTGAGATTGTCTAACTAAGACTCGTGACTCCATCATCCATCCACTGAAGAGCATTTATTTGTGACATTCATAGTGATAGCACTGTGGTGCTCAGCTCTATGCTCTGATCTCACTGTGCAATAAGCCCGAAGAGAAGCAACTGATGTACTCTGCTCTCCTTATTTACAGACACCTACAAGGCATGTTCTGACTTAGAATGCACCTACAAACAGACACACAGACACACAGACACACACACACCAAGAGACAAATTTATCTGATGGGGGTCTCTGAGGGCCCCCTGGGTCAAAGTTGGAGAGGGGGGAGTGCTCTGTCCGCCCATCCCACAGCCTCCCTGAAACCAGGAGACAGTCAGGCGTGACAAGGAGTCAGGTCAAAGCGAGAACTCATTTATTGTTTAACAATGAGCTTTTTAAAG